CCAGTGGGAGGGGCTTACAATGGTATGGTTTAATAATGCCAAAATCTACTTTGCACTTTGTTTTTTACTTTGCTACTTTTAAATCAAGAGTGTGGGCCCAGATGTGTACTGCAGGCCAGCATCACAAGCAAGGGCAAGGCAGCAAATAATCCATATTCTTACCTCCAGCAAAAAAAAGCCTGCACGGGCAGAGAAGGAAGTGAATGGGAAGACCACACAATATTGGCATGGGACAAATCATCATCAATAACCCCAGACACAGGCAGGAACAGACACATCCCCCCTCCTTCCTGCTCCAGGCCAGTCACAGAAATATTGCTAAGATGGATTACCCTGCAGCTGCCCCCCGGACAGGAATGCCATTATTAAAGCTAGAATGGATATCCCATACAGATGTGGGTCATGTGATACAATTTTCCCAAATATCGCATGCAGTACTGAAAATGTCAGTTCACTATCCCTTTATATGGTATTTATCTAAAGAAGCAAAAACTCTTGGTAAGTATTGCATAAAACAGTGTTAAAGTCAATTCACTAAAGCAATGAGATATTGAAGTAATGTATAAAATTGCAGCTGGTTGTCAAGGAGCTGGCTGTCTCTAGCTTCCCTAACAACCAGTGACTCATTTGCTGTCAGTGGGATTCCCAGCTGACAGCAGAACGTAAACAAAAGAAGAGCCAGCATTTAACACATTATTTTAAAAACAGAATGGCCCCTCCACCCAATCCATACCGGACCCAAGAAGCCTGGTGGGGGGAACTACTTTATTAATGATTGACTTTTCTGTTTACATTTTGCTGTCAGCAGGGAATCCTCGCTAACAACAAATGCATCATGGTTGTTAAGGACATCGTGGGTGTCGAATCCTTAACAGCCAGCTATTCCCTAGTTATTAAGGATGCCGAAGGGTGCCATTGTTAAAATACCGCAAGTTTTCACTACTAAAATACAGCATCACTTCAAGAAATAGCGCATGCGGCATTTTAGAAGTGATTTTAGTAACCTGCAAAAAACAATTCTGAAAACGCCATGAACTATTTTACCGCTGATTGTAAAATGGTAAATAACGTTTCATGAATTGTGCTCACATTCTTTTAACTGGGGACAAAATTGGGGGCATTTTTTTCCAGGTATAGTCCCCTAAAATTAGGTACTGGCCTCAGAAATCAAGGACATCTGGTCACCGTATACTAACAGGACAGCATTATAAATTTCTGCCTGCTCTGCCTATACAGCTATCTGGTGGTTTAGTAAATCAGGTCTAGGTCCTTAAAAGCATTAGGAGCTTGACTGAGACCCAGAACAGATAAACAACACACTTCCTACAGCTGCCCGTAAAGAAAACATTTTTTACCACTTTCAACCAGGTTAGGATAGCACAAGATTTCCTAACATAAGCATGCCAGCATACACATAGGTATAGCTCTGCCCCCGCAAACAATCACAGGAACAGCTATACTATAAATTATAATATAATATTATATTATAAATTACATGCAAACAAACAAAAGATTTCCCAGCACACTTACCAGCCAACCTGCAAAACAACTGAATTGGCCCTGTCTAACAGTTTACGTAAAAAAACAGAGGGTTTTGGTTGCACACATTAGCAAATATATGCATAAGCCTCAGTGCCCATGACAAGGGATCTCTGTATATACTGCGGTCGGTCCTAACTCTAAACTTTCCAGAGTCTCCATAGTAGGAGCACATATAACAATGGATAGGTTAAGGGCAGGTATGCTTACTCCTCCTTAAAGGCACAGGGAACATGTAACACCCAGCAAGAGCACGATGGCCGCAAAGGCATCCAGTGCGTCCCTAGACCCAATTCAACCAACTGTACAAAAAGGTGGCAACTACCCCAACCTGTGACTTGCCTTTGCTGCAAAGTGCACATGGAAAGGCAATGCACATCGCAAACAAACAAAAGATTTCCCAGCATACATACCAGCCAGACTGCAAAACAACAGAATCAACCCTATCTAACAGTTTATATTAAAAACAGAGGGTTTTGCTTGCACACATTATAAATAAACACTCTGCACAAGACAATATTCTTCATGATTAGATGGGGATTACATTGTAAAAGACAGCTCTATTATCAATTGCTATATGAGAGACTGTTTTTTCTTTAATAACCTTTCTTACTATTCAGGGTCTTCATGATCCACTGAAATCAATGGTAATGCCATAAAAACATAATATAGTGTGTTTTACCATGTTTTGACAAAATTCCACATTTATTCTACCATGTAGGAAAATGCAACAAAACACAGGAATCTGTATAAATAAAACAACATGTGATGTAAAGATCTATAAAGGGAGGCTATCAAAATGATAACCAGACGCAGAGATAAAAGTAACCAAAAACTAAATGTGAATCTCAATTTTTCTTGTTAAAGACAAGATTTGCCCCAGAGACCTTCATTATTGGTCAATGAGGCTGCCCATCATGTTAAAGCACAAACAGGGAGGTTTGGACATCAAGGACACAAATAATGTAAGTGTGCATATATTCTAACTTCAGTGGCTAATTACATTGACGTGCAGTTTTCACTAACAGAAACCCCTGCGTATGCATTTCTTCTATCATGCATTCAGTTTTTTTAGTTTTTCTTTTCATTTTCCATACTTTCATATATTTTAAATTTCCTGGTGGTATAGTATGCACGTAACCATTACTCGATGATAGCAACAACAATGGCATTTCCAATTAATAAAATGGGAGGCACAAAACTATTTTATAGATTTTACAAAAGCCCGGAGTAGCAACCCAATATAGCAACAGAACCGAAAAACATCTGCTTCAGCTATCTTTAGGGATCTGTAGTTTGGGGTTCACCACCACCATGGATTTGTGGCAGATCCACTAAATCATGAACGTTTGGATGAAATAAGGAAATAGGGAACAACCTATAATTGGGCAGCACAGTGGCTAAATGGTTAGCACTTCTGCCTGGCAGTACTAGGGTCGCTGGTTCAAATCCCAACCACGGCATCACCTGCCTGGAGTTTGCATGTTCTTTCTGTGCCTGCGTGGGTTTCCTCTGAATACTCTGGTTTCCTCCCACAATCCAAAGACAGGCTGATAGGTTAATTAGATCCTGTTTAAATTGGCCCTAGTATGTGTCTGAATGTAAGTTAGGGACTTTAGATTGTATGCCCCTTGAGGGATAGGGACTGATGTGTATGTACAATATATATGTAAAGTTCTGCGTAAATTGATGGCACTATATAAGTGCCTGAAATAAATAAATAATAATGCAGTCTATAGCCTTTTCCTTTGTCAGCTAACTAACAGCCATTAATTTGAAGGAGTGGATAACCCAGCCCACTTTGTATAAAATGATGGACTCCCAGCAGTCATATTGAGAGTGTGTGTTGGAGTTGTCAGGGGGATTTCACAGTTCTGTTTTTTATTTTTTAAATGGGCAATGGCACTTGTTCCCTATGGAAATGCCCAGCTTAAAATGTCCTAGAATTCTCCAGAATTAAATAACATGCAGGCATGTGCAGTCTGCTTTCTCCAGTGCAGGTGGCACTCAACCTCTGCAGCAGAGGAAAAAGAAGTTAGGAGGAACATAGTTCCTCTATGGATTCTTGGGTCACTAGAGAAGCTATCTGGTTGGATGCTGTTGCCTCATGTGATTCTGGAGGCCGTCTTGGGTTAGGCAAAGTCTATTTAAGACCCTTGCTCCTGGGTGTGGCACGCATTTTGCATGTGGGTTGTGCAGGAACAAGTCACCCATCTGTTAGTGACAGTGACTAGTGGTAAGGAAAGGTTACAGACAAGTAAGGAAAGGGTAGGGACACACCATCCTTCCAGGAATCTTCCCATTTGGGCATGGACTGGCCAGGACACAATCCACCCCTCAAGACAGCAGCTGTCAACACATCTGAGTCCTGCTCTGCTACACATTGCTGTTGCATTTTTTGAGTGTTCCCGGTCGGGTGTCTTCCCACTGGGCTGTCTGTGAAGTTTGAACATTTTTATACAAGTTCTGTTTTCTGCAACTGGAGTGTTTACTGCCACCACACCAGGCTGCACCTGCCAACAAAGAAGATAAACCCTCACCATGGACTTAAATGAGGTTTGCCACAAAGTTTGTGAACTCCAAACTTCAAGCAAAATTCACAAAACTGTTTGTGATTCAATCCCAGGCAGATTCATTCATCCCTATCAATCTACTTTTAAAGATGGTCCAGTTTTTTTCAGAATGAAAGAAAGGTCCCAGCCTTTGTTTGTTTTTCCTGTCTTCAATGGCACTGAAGAATTTCTTGACAGTTACCAAAGTGGATTCCAAACTGATAAATCTATACAGAAGAACATATTTATTCTGAACTGTAACATGGAGAAAACTGATTCACAACTAAGAATATACCATGCTTGCATTGATTTAAAGACCACCTATGACAGCATAAACTGGGTAGCAAACTGTTCAGAATCCCAGCCAAGTTAGTATGACTGGTGAAGATGTCTTTGACTAAAATGCTGTGGTTAGATTAAATCCAGCCTTGACAGCCTGCACTCAGAGACAAAGTGAGTAACAGAAAACACACATGTGGATATTGTGCTCCATCTGCAGTGACAGTGGTCACACAGCCATACTTCCCCAGCTGATACTTGAGTATTCCTGGGGAGTGATAATTCTATAGCTGCAGCTGACCCACAAACTAAGGGCCCTATTTGCACTTTATTCAAGGTTAAACCTAATGCAGGCTCATGTCCACTTGCAAGTTAATTCCCCGCATTGTTGACCCTAGATAAGTAATCTGATGGTGAGAAGGTTGATCTTTTCCTGGCCTTCTCTCCTGTCCATTGCAGGCAATTTAATGTAACATCATATGGGATACATGGGATGGGAGAGGAGTGCTAGCAGGGATTTGCATGCCAGAAGAATGTGTCAAAGCCCCATCCTTGCTATGCATATGGGTAAAATCATTTCTCTGCTGACCTATGCCCTCCACTTTGCTGTCCCCTGTACACTGACCTACCTGACCCCTGACTGCCACCCTGCTGACCCCTGTACACTGCCCAGCTGTCCTTTGTCCTCCTCCCTGCTAACCCTTGTACACTGCCCTGCTGACTCCTTGTCTTCTGCCCTGCTGACCCCTGTACACTGCCCTGCTGTCCTTTGTCCTCCTCCCTGCTAACCCTTGTACACTGCCCTGCTGACTCCTTGTCTTCTGCTCTGCTGACCCCTGTACACTGTCCTGCTGACCTCTGTCCTCCTCCCTGTTAACCCCTGTACATTACCCTGCTGACTCCTTGTCCTCTGCCCTGCTGACCCCTGTACACTGCCCTGCTGACCCTCTGTCCTCTGCCCTGCTGACCTCTATGATTTGCCCTACAAACTCCTGACCCTTGTACACTGTCCTACACACTCTGTACCCCTGTACTCAGCCCTAGAAACTACTGACCCCTGTATTCAGCCCTAGAAATTACTGACCCCTGTAGACTGCCCTACATATTTATGACCCCTGTACTTGGCCCTAGAAAAACTACTGACCCCTGTGCACTAATGTATACTGCCATAAATACAGTACTACTGATCCCTGTGCACTTCACTACATATTACTTACACCGGCCAGAACATAACCCAGTCAGTCAAGATGGAACTCAGAGCAGATAGTCAGGCCAGCCAAGCCTGAAACTAGGCAAGCAAGTCAGCATGCTGTACCAGTTATCCTGCCTTCATGATGGATTCCTGCATCAAACTTGTAGGGGTGATCAATGACTCTGCAGACGTGAAACAAAAAGTGAATGAAAGTGAATGGCAGGTTTTTACTGAAGCTAAATTTTAAGGTAGTCTAAGTTTGTGTTTGACATTTGTTTATTTATATTTTTCTATCTTTTCTTCATTCCGAACATGCTTTTAATTAAGGCTTTGGTAACTCATTTCTTTTTTAAATAAAGGGCGTTGCACTCCGGTGATCTTTGATCTTTTCCGTGTTGTCCTGTTAGATTTCCACCTCTCAAAGGTTGCCTATCCCTGCAATAAATGGTATCTCTTAAACTCTGAGCTTTCTGACTCTGAGCTTTCTGCACAGCTGGGTTATAAAATACTGCCATTATCAGGAAGAGCTGTCAGCATTCGATGGCGGTTTTAACCTACCTTATATACAATGGGTATATAAAAAAATCACACCCCTTTTAAAATAATCACATTTTGTAGCTTTTCAGCCTGAAATGAAGACAGACACAGTTTTTGTTTTATCTAGCTGTATTTACTCAGTGCAATGTATAAGTGAAAGATATAACACCAACGTTAAAAAAACATTTGAAAAATTTTGAAAACAAAATCAATGAGTTGGAAAAAGGATCATTCCCCTCCTACAAATTACTTGTAAACTCTATCAGGTGTAGCTAATCATCTTCTCAATGACACACAAAGCATTTTGACTTTCAACTGTGATCAGCTGTGGTCAGTTTGATTATTTTAGCATGAAAAGAGCTTTCCTGGATTATTTCAGTCTCTGATAGTGCAAATGAAGCAAACAATCAACTATGGATGGCAAGACACTGTCAAAAGATCTCTAGGACAAAGTGTGGACAGGCACAAGTCAGGAGATGGATAAAAAAATTCACATACTTTATCAGTGCCTAGAAGCATTGTGAAGTCTATTATTTAGAAGTGGAAGGTATCTGGTACAAGACAGATTCTCCCTGGATCAGGACATCTCTCCAAACTGGATGAAAGAGCCAGGAGGAAACTGGTCAAAGAGACTACCAAGAGGCCTCCAGCAACTCTGAAGCAGTTGCAAGAGTTGATGACGAAGAGTGGTCCTTGTGTGCATGTGATAACAATATCACAAATTCTCCACAAATGTGGCTTGTATGGAAGGATTGCAAGAAAAAAGCCACTCCAAGAAAGGCCACATGCAGTCACCAATGTGATTTGCCAAAATGCCCCTTGAAGATTCTGAGGCCAAATGGAAAAAAGGTGTTATGGTCAGATGAGACTAAAATTTAATTATTTGGTCTCAACACTAAATGATTTGTCTGGTGGAAATTCAATACAGCTAACCATCCTAATAACACCATTCCTATAGTAAAGCATGGAGGTGGTAATATCCTGTTACGGCGGTGTTTCTCTGCAGCAGGGACTGGAGAGCATCTCGGAATAGAAGGAAAAATGGATGGGGCAAAATATTGTCAACTTCTTGAGGAAAATCTGCTTCCCTCTGCCAGAAAGTTGTCAATGGGAAGAAGATTTACCTTCCAACATGACAATGACCCAAAACACACAGCAAACATGACCACACAGTGGTTGAGGGAGAAAAAGGTGAATGTCCTTGCATGGCCTAGTCAGAGCCCAGACTTAAACCCCATTGAAAATCTGTGGAATGACTTGAAGACTGCAGTCCACAAACAGTCACCATCAAATTTAACTGAACTTGACCAGTTCTGAAAAGAAGAGCGGGTAAATATTGCAAAGTCAAGATGTGCAAAGTTAGTGGAGACATATCCCAACAGACTAAAGGCTGGAATTAAAGCAAAAGATGGTTCAACAGAATACTGACACAAGGGGGTGATCCTTTTTCCAACTTTTAAAAAAAAATGTTTTCATTTATTTTGACATGTTGGTGTTATATTTTTCACTTGGATGATATAAGTTTACCTGAGTAAATACAGCTGGTTGAAACAAAAACTGTGTCTGTCTTCATTTCAGGCTGCAAAGCAACTAAATGTGATTATTTTAAAGGGGGCTGATTCTTTTCTATTCCAACTGTACATAACAATATTACAGGCATTTTGTAAAACGTTGGTTAGAGATTTACTATACAGTTAGAAAATACATAATTTATGTTTAAATATTTTTTTATGCTTGTTTTCAGTCCAAAGGCTTGGTTTCTTGTAAACAAATAAACACACTTGCATTTATTATGATTTCTCATTTTTATATTTACTTGCAATCAGCATTTTACAGCATAAACAAAGAACATTTATATTAATTTTAGAAATGCTGTATAACACATTTACGGCTGTTGTTTAGCTATTCATTAGTATATTTGATTGCTTTTTCTACTTTTCAGTAAACAGCAATAAAGAATAGTTTTATTCATAGATATTATTTTATGTTCAAGTACAGTAATTTAAGAACTTAGAATTAAACTTTCAAACATTTTTCAACAGTTAATCCAGATCCAATAAATATACATTGTCCAGAGAAATATTTCTTTAATTTTTTGCCCCAGCACCTACAGACGTCATGTTTCCAAATAGCTGGCTCCAACTTTCTAAGCCCGGCTTTTTTGAACTTCCTATTGAAAGTGCAATCTATAGCAGCTGTCCATCTACCAGCTTGGAGAAGTGAGGAGCATGGGAGTGGCATGCCATGCTGTACCCGTGTGTTGATGTAGACACACACACCTTACTACTACACATTCAAGAGTGGCTCCATAGGAACCTTGCAAGGGAATATCAGGGCCAGTGCTCAGAGGACCAGCTGGTTCTGCAGGAAAATACAACTTTTAAATGTCAAGGAGCAGCATCTGATACAGTTAGTAATTTAATCACCATTTAGCTTAAAAAATGATCACTTTGAATGGAATAAAACCAGATATTTCCTTTATCATGGCATGCAGCATTGGCCCTGTCAGTCTCTAAAGCATCTTGATCAACCTTTTTACCCCTGAGGACCCCTTGAAATGATTTTCAGGTACCCCTGCTAAAAAAGGATTATAATATCTCCAGCGCATGGTTCATTAGTGTGATTAAAAGGTTGAACAAAGTTTTAAATAGAAGAATAAGTAATGTGACATTCTTGACACCCAGGGCAGGTAATTTTGTTACCAAGCCCCTACAAAATTATTTTCAGTAGTATTCATGAAATAAATGATAACTACAGATAAGAAAGGCTGACAATACAAATTGTAGTGTCCTCTAACATTAGTGGTCAGTATAGAAGTGACCCTTTACATTGGTGGTTAGTAGAAAAAATGCCAACTTACATTAGTGGTCAGTGTAATTGGGTGTCATTGCTCAAAAACCCCCTGGCAACCTAAGTAGGAACCCCTAAAGTCCTACTGGACACTGGATGGGAAACACTGCTCTAAAGAGTACGGTTACTTACAGTGCTTTTCAGATACTGAAAAGGTAAAGTGATTGATGCCTAAATGTGATGATACATGTAAACCAAATGGGGTGTCATTGCTCAAGGACCTCCTGGCAACCTAAGTAGGAACCCCTAAAGTCCTACTGGACACTGGATGGGAAGCACTGCTCTAAAGAGTATGGTTACTTACAGTGCTTTTCAGATACTGAAAAGGTAAAGTGATTGATGCCTAAATATGATGATACATGTAAACCAAATGGTAAAGAAATACAGCTTCCCACAACAATGATTCTTTGCTGCTACAAGAGTTCTTAATGAATAAAGCTATAGGAAATATATGCAGCCTTGTTGTCAGATCAGAGTTATATGATTACACCTATGCAAGTGCAGATTTGTGAGCATGAAAAAAAGTCATGTGTGAACAAGCTCTACAAGCCTATAGCATGACATAAGTTTGATCCATTGGCTAAGGTCATTTCAGAGGTTTCCCTGCATTTAATGATGTTTGCTAGTCAGATTACAGACATCAGATTAGTAGCATTAGGTAAGCTGGTAAAGGAATCCATAAGGATCCTTAGCTGTGATCTTCCAGAACCCAGACTCTTGCCATCTTAGCCAGTGGTGTGAATGAGTTCAGGCCACCTGCTCATTCTCACTAAGCTCCTATCTGTGAGTAAATAGAATAATAGGCAACTGTGTATATCTTCTACTGATGGCATGGCATTTGGCCTTATTTGTGCACTGTGCCATGGTGAGGGGAAATCTAAAGCTTGACAGTTGCCACTGGAAGAGGTGTTCCCATTGGGAGATTTCACCTCTAGACCTGTGTCAGTATAAACTGGAATATTTTTGATTCCCATTCAATTTCTGACCCAGTGACAATGGCCAAGAAGTCAAAAGGTTAGAGAGACACAGCAAAAAAACAAAAAAAAACAAAAAACAAAACCTGAGCGGATACAACTAAAAAATGAAAAAAACAAATGTCTCAAGTTTCACATTATAAACTTTATTACTTAAATTGGAATTTTGTGTAAACAACTGTCTCTGTAATGCTGCTTTATCCTCACTGTATCTCTCGCTGCCAAAAATTAACTTAAAGCACAACTTCAGCCAAAAATAATGAGATGTAAGATAATAGTCTATAAAATGATAAAATAATAAAACAGTTTCTGTAGCAACACTTTCTTTCAATCCAGAGCTCACCCCTGTAGTACTTGTTTTCCACCACAAGTCTGATGGCCAACATCATTTAACCAACTTCGTCTGAGCCCAGATTATCCTGGACCTGATCAGCCTCTGACTGGACAGTGAAAGCAGGAGGAATGCAGTGGTGAACTCAACGTTCTGTCCCTCTGCTTTTTCCTCCTTTCAGCATGCTCCTTGCAGCATATAAACTGATTGGCTCCTTTTGCTGCTTCTTCCTCTCACACTCTAGCCATGCTGAACATGGATTGCAAGAGGCTGATTCAGGTACATACACTGTTTTAATTTAAAAATCACATTCAATGTCATATTAATGATTACAGAACTGAATTAACTGCTTAGACTGAGCAGGAAGGCTGTGTTCCCTGTATGCATTTTTAGGCTGACTGACTGGTACCAGTAACAAACAAGGTACTGTATCCTATCCAGGTGTATATTAGGATGTTTGACTTCCTAGGTCTGTATTCATACATTGTTAGCTGAAAGCAACAGCTTTATTAAAGGCAAAGTTAACAAACTAAGAGCTAGACATAACAAAAGATAGGTTGCATCAATGCAGAGCCGTTCCGCAGCCTCGTGACGTCCAGTAACCCTGAAACACTGAATGTTTATAGCTTCACAAATTGACCTCTCTAGCAGAAGAATTGATGGCAGTGCATCATACATCTTCTTCTAAATGGCAGACAGCATCCTACTGCAGGGAAGATATTGGCTTCTGACAGTAAAATCATTTTAACACACAGTGAATTTTAATGGTATTGATGATTAATCAGAGTTATTACACATTAATGCATGACAAGACTAATTACCTGCATATACCTTTGTGACCCAGTCTATGGTCCATTAGTGCTTCATTAACAGGGAGGATTTATGTCTGAGCAATTAAGGGCATTATGATTATCCCCTAATACTTTTATATGGGAGATTGAAGGTTAGGAATAAAATACTAATGATTGCCTTAAAAATATTTAGCTTTTCTGTTGTTCAAGTTTTAATGCAAGTAATTAGGTATATCACATATCAGTCACAGTATGCCTATTTTCAAATGAGAGGAAATAGGCTAGTTATATACTTAACTAATTGATATAGCTCTAACATATTCTTTTTTTATGCAGTCCTTTAACGATAACATTAAACCATTCACATCAGTCTCGGACCCACCGGGAGCTTACAATCTATTGTTCCTACTAGAGTCACACAAGTGTACACACAAAGCCTAACCAATCTGGGTGGAAGACATTTCCCACGCCAGTATGTTTTGGAATTGTGGCAGGAAAGTGATGCACCAGGAGGAACCCACGCAAACTTACAAACATCATAAAGAAACTGTATTTGGTGGGAATTGAGTCAATGATGGCTTGTGCTTTTTGTAATCCCACCATTCCCTGAGCTTTGTTCAAACAATACTTGAAATCGATTATGCCATATTGGCAAGTTCATGCTTTTCAAAGTGATCAGGGTCAACTTCATTATTCATGCTATTTTGTCCATTGTGGTGATGAGCTTCAATGCAGAGAATGTATATGTAGGCTCCAAGTGCTCCACCAGCCATTGGTCCAACCACAGGAATCCACCAAAAGTTATTGCCAGCTCTGCATTAAAAGAAAAAATAATTTAGAATGGTCATTATTAAAGCTGAAGCCTAGGTATGCCCTTTTTTGTATAGGAACATTGGTCCAGCTTGGACCAATATAGTTATTTATGTATCATACCTGGTCAATCCCCGTAGAAGCTGCAAATCCCTGTAAAAGGTCCCCCTACTACATTGACCTTCACAACCTTCTGGGTCCCATGTTAAGTGGCTCCCTGCTGCTCAGTGAATACAGGGGGTTTGCATTTTTTCATGAATGTAAAATATTCTATTATTATTCTATGATTGGACAAGATAATGGTGACAATGCATCCCCACCTTTCCATCTCATCCAAGCATTGAATGCCATATCTAAACTTTAGGGAAGAGTACCAGACAATATTAGCATGGCCCTGTATAAAGAAAAGACTGCAAGCTAAGAAGACTACATAATGTTATTTGCCAAGACTGATACTAGTGCATATACTGTATATGTTGTGAGCTGGGGATAGGCAGCCGGGACATATGCTTCCTGGGGTAAGCAGTCTTTCAGGCACAGATACCAAATCCAGTGAGATTAGTGGCAGTGAATATGTTTATTAGTGCTATTTACAAAAGATTATATACAAAGTGTTGTACAGTGTTTAACCAAAATAAACAGGGCAGGAAAATATCAAACAACAAAAACCTAGCCGTGTCCCGATTCTCACTACACAGTAATGCAGGTCCTAACTACTAGACTGATCAAGCCTGCCGCTTGTCAGCCCCAACACACACAGCTAGTTAGCTTGCACCAACCATTCAGCTCTCCAAATAGGACTTGTCTGATCCCCAGGCCGAGATCTCTGGCTACAGGTTCCAGGGGGATTTAATTGCCCATGGAGAGAGAGAGGTAAACCCTGCATTGGACCTCATATCAGAGATCTTTAAAGATATAGGTAATGAACCTGGGAGATCTATAAACCCCAAACAGGACTTTCCCAGGGTTCCTTTGGGAAGCTCTGCCACAATATGTATCTGTTCATTATAGAAGCTATAATACATATATAGACGCTACTGGTGCATATGCTGCATACGTGTATCTGTTCATTATAGAAACTATAACTATCATAAAAAGTGGAATTCTCCAACTAAACAAAAACTGTGCTATACATGACTTATTTTAAACCATTTGACTTCCCCTTGCCTCCTATGGCTTCCAATACTATCTCTTTACTTGCAACACCCAAATCTATTTCTCTGCTCCTCATCTCACCCCTTAATTCTGTTTGTGCATCATTAAGTTACTAATTGATATATCAGTATGGATGTTAAGCCACTCTCTAATACTCAGTATTTCTAAAACTGAGCTTATATTATTTCTTCCCTCGTGTCCCCTCCTTTGACTTTTCTATGGAGATCAATTGAGCACCTATCAGTCCCTCCCTACATGCCAGGGTATTAGGCATAATCCTGAACGCTGATCTCTCCTTTCAGCGCCATGTCTAATCACTCCTCAAATCTTGCCACTGTCACCTCTATTACATTTGCAAAATATGTTCTTTCTTAACCAATGACCCCTCCAAGATACTTATCCACTCCCTTATCATGTCTCTCCATTGACTATTGCAACTCCCTCTTTGTTGGCCTATCCACCTTGTACCTTATATGAATGCTGCCAAACTCATCCTCCTCAGTGTTTACCACCCCTTTCTGTCATTCTTTCCACTGGATTCTAATCACCCAATAAATAAAATTCAAAATATTAGTGCTAACAATTGTTTTCTTTGTGTCCTTGCACTGACCTATGCAGATCGATGCAGCTCAAATAATGTGAATGAGCCCTAAGATAAATGGCACTTGTGTTCTGTCTGCATTATCAAAATTCAGCCACCAGTAATAGGCTTCTGAGAAGAGCCAAGGTCACTCAGGTGTGTGTTCTGTTCCTTGAGTCCTTGTTCACAGTGATGCAAATCTGATGCGGATAGATGTGATGCGATCCAAAAGGCAAAAGGGTTGATTTACTAAATAGAATACAAAATAGACTGTGTACTTTGCAAATTGCAGTTGCACTCTGTACGTGCAGTTGCTCCAAAGCTTAGTAAATAAGGTAAAGCTTCACTTTGCAAAGAATACCCAATCACATGCAAGGAAAATAAAAAAAAAACAGAATTTTTGCTTGCAAATGATTGGATGATGGAAGTCAGCAGAGCTTCTGCTCATTTACTAACCTCTGGAGCAACTGTTCTTGCAGAATGCAACTGCACTTCAGAAAGTACACAGTCTATTTACCTTTAGTAAATCAACCCCATAAAGTTGCATGTCATTTTAAAATACATTGCTTTCTATGAAGGCCGTTCACATCTATGTGGTGCGGTTTTGATCTGGTTAAAAAAAGGTTCCTGTGCAGTGCGGGTGTGATGTGAATTTTATCTCCAGCTATACCCAGTCCCCTCAGAAATCGCATTAAATTCACACCTTTCAAAACACAAATCGTGCTGTGAAATTGCATCAATTCGCACTGCATTAGTGGGAACCTAGCCTGAAATGCTCCAAAGATATCCATATCAAGGTATTATGGCAAGGTCTCCTGCAACTTTCACAGTTTGTGCTTTTGCTTCTCATTTCTCATGGTCTTCTCCTACACTTTTCCTAATAGACAAGTCTTTACCACTAACACGCACTGCTAGAAAATGGCTAATAGACACCCATTCCTTTAAAGCTAGTCCCATCTATTTATGTCTTGCAGAGCCTCATTGCTTGCAAATTACGTCACTTGGTCTACTTTAAATATAGCCATTGGGGTAAAAAATGATGGACATTCCAGTCTATGCTAGGTCTCCATGGCAGCATTACAGAACAAATGGCTGCTCTGTTTTAGTGCAATTGTAATCCTCAGCCATCCTAAGCATCCCTAGTGGTAGAAAAACAAAAAAAAAAAAAAATTAAAACAATAAAAGCTTGAGGTGATTGTAGCCATAGCATTGCCCTTGCAACAAGAACTTTTTTAATTTGCACTAACATCCACGTTTTCAGAACAAGTTTTCGGGTATACCCCCTTCTTCATCATCCAAGCAGTACTGACCTTGAAGAAGGGGGTACACCCCAAAAACTTGTCTTGAAAATTTGAATAAAAAAGTACCAAGGACAGTACTCAACTGTGACAATAAAAACCAAATGTGTACTGGCTACATGATCACTATGGAGGTCACTCATTGGCAGAGAGTATTCTAAGATGTTAACTTCTTTCTGCTGTGCAGCAGCTATCCCGTCATTTGCCATTAGTAGGTATTCTAAAATACATTAGCTGGTGACATAAAACAATAATCTGGATGACAAATTTACCACAGTGAATCTTTAAAGGGTTCGTTCACCTTTCCAGTACAAGTTCCCATGCATTCAGACATCCTTAGTAGATTAGTAAAACACTGTTCAGCTTTGAAAAAGGAATTTTTCTTAAATGTCATACCAGTTTTTTTGGCCATTCCTTTGTGTGGATGGATCACATGCATGTAACATCTTTTTTTTTTTTTTTGGGGGGGGGGGGGTGAGATGTTTCACCTACAGTATATCAACTTGGTAATGCAGAAATACAGCCTATAATTAAAAAATTTATTTTCTATACTTTGCTTCTGAATCCTATAGCTTAGTACTGATAACAAATCATTCCAATTGTCACTAAATTATCATCAAAAAGTGTATATATTTATTTGCAACAATTATGTTATCTGTGATATCCTAGGTAAGCATACACACATCTATTGGAAACATGGTTCAGTCCTCTCAGATTACTTACGTGAAAACCTCATAACCCCAGCCAGCCGCCGCTGTGAAGATGCGTGGTCCTAAGTCTCTAGCTGGGTTCATCGCACCTCCGCAATTCATTCCTAGAGATAGTCCTAGAAGCAGAATGAGAAGACCAACTGCAACTGGCTCCAGTCCCTTAGGGGCTGCAAGGTTTTTCTTGTCAAATATGGCAAATACCACTATGAGCAGAAGAGCAGTAGACAGTATCTGTACAAAAATACATAATAAAATATTTCAGTTAGCATGCTTTCCAACTTCAGTTAAAAAATAAACAAAAACGTAATGATAGGTGCCCAAAGTCCCAGAGGTCACATCATTCATCAGCTAAGCTGAACTAGGGCTGTCGCTTCACTCAGATCTGCATGCCTTTTGTATCTAAGAAGAAAATTTATTGAAGTGATTGTAAAGCCATATTTTTTAAAATAATAAACATGTTACACTTATCTGCTCTGTGCAATGGTTTCCCGACCCTCTTCTTTTGGGGTCCCCTGTCACCGGTCTTGGATCCTCCCCCCTGCCAAGTGTCCACCATAGCAATTCTCTTGGTATGGGGGCACTTGTATGGACTCACTCTCAAGCTGGCTCTGCGTGTCCATAGACACACAGAGCGCAGCTCAGCCATCCCCACCTCCCACCTCCCACTCACTCCTCACTGGCAGTGATTGATGACAGCGGGATCCAATGGCTCCTGCTGCTATCTCTAAGCCTGTGAGGAGGGAAAGAGCTGAAAGAGCCAATGCCCTTGTGCACAGTGCTGGATTGAGATCGAAGCTCTGGTAAGTATAGGGGGAGCTGGACAAAGAAGATATTTTACCATAATGCAGAGAATGCATCAAGATAAAAAACCTTCAGTCTTTAGAACCACTTTAAAGATACACTGTGATCAAATTAAAAAATGTAAGTAATAGAACAGAAAAAATCAAACATTTGAATGTTCACTTGCAGTATATTCCTTTTAGATAATCAATTTTCTATTATTATTATTATTATTGTTATACAGGATTTATATAGCACCAACAGTTTACACAGCGCTTACAACGTAATTCATTTGCTATGTGAATTTCAATTTGCTGGAAAATGTGACTCCAGTGAGTCATTATCCTAGCACAGCCCTTTCCCTCCTTGCATGTCATAACCCTTGCTCTTCTGGAAGTGTCTAATTACTTTCTGTGCTGGCCCAGCTACTCTGCCCCTCACCTCCCTACATAATCTTTTATTTAGCTGGTAGGGGAGAAGCAAAAGTCAATACTATAGCGTGTCACTTGAGTGACAGCTCTGAGTCTGCTGGGGCTTCTGACATTACATCTAAGATGGCAACACCCAGGGAGATGTTACAGGTAAAGAAAACATGCATAAAATATGTTAAATGTATATACAGTACAATTGAATGGGAGGATTTTTGTTGAAATTAATTTTCTGATGACAGGGTTTCTTTAGGTTTTCTCTATATTAACTGATAACATTTTTATTTAACTTTTTTTTTAAATTTTATTCTAAAATAAAAGAAAAAAAAGAAAAAAATAACTTTAAAGCGCCCCCATACCAGAAGTGAACGCATACGTATATCGTGCACGCATATGTAAACGGTGTTCGCAGCACACGTGAGGTATCGCCGTGAACGTTAAAGCGAGAGCAATAATTCTAGTGCTAGACCTCTTCTGTGACTCTAAACAGGTAACCTGTAAAAAATTTGAAATCGTTGCATATGGAGATTTTTAAGTCCCGTACTTTGTTGCCATTTCACAAGCATGCGCAATTTCAAAGCGAGACGTTAGATATCTATTTACTTGCCATAACATCCTCTTACATATTGTACAAACAAATGGGGGTATATTTTGTGTTTTGTTTTTTTTTCATTCATGAAAGTATATTTTTTACCAAAAATATTGCATTTGAAAAACCGCTGCGTAAATACCATGTGACATAAACAATTGCAATAATCGCCATTTCATTCTGTAGGGTCTTTGCTAAAAAATATATAATGTTTGGGGGTAAATTAAGTAACTTTCTAGCAAAAAATATGTATTTAAACTTGTAAACAAAAGGTCCCAGAAAATGCTTGGTCTTCAAATGGATACTAAGGTAAATTTTGGAATCCGAAAGTTTTATAATGGGTAAAATGGTCTGTAAATAGCAATATGCTGATAAGGACTTAGTTACCACTTCTGGCTGTGGGACCATACTAATAAGGATGCTTAAAGTGAATGTTCCTCCAAAAATTGTGTTTTTAACTATGTTGTTGTGAGTAAATATATCCTATTCCTTATTTAGAGCCTTATTTCCTCTTTAATAGCTTGTGATCCTTTCCCCTTTGCCTGTTTTACTTGGACCACACCAAGCATGGAAGGATATCTGTACTGGCACATCCCTTCTTCCCAAACAGAGATACAGGACACAGTGCCCAAACATTGCATGCCTGTATCTCCCATAGTCAGTTTTCCCACCGTGCCTCCTGTCCCGCCCTGCTGTGTTGATTGACAGAGGCTTCCAACTGGAGCAAGATGTTTATTTTTTGAATGTTACAATTTGACTATAGTAGACAATAACATATCTTTTTTTGCAGTTTCCTTTTGATGTATTCTTTTCACATATACTTTAGCTCTTTAAAAGGGTATATATCGTGAAAGCCATCAAAGAGTAGTTCCTTGCACAAGTGTGCTATGCGGTCCACTGATAACACGGAGGGGGAGATTTACTAAAACTGGTGCAGCTGTGCATGGTAGCCAGTCAGCTTCTCACTTCAACTTTTTCAGTTATGCTTTGGCAATAAAACCTGGTAGTTGATTGGTTTCTATGCAGAGTTACACCAGATTTTGCACTTTCTTGTTTTGATAAATAACCCCCAGAGTCTACTTACAGAGAACTCCTTAAGATAGCCTCATATGTCAGACAGCAGGTAAATATAAATAGTTTGGTAGCCTGTGAATGTCAGGCACATAGGCACACTCACTAGTATCATATCAGCATAATCTGTGGAATTCCCAAACTTTGCCTCAGGGGAACCATAATATTAGAAAATCTAGCCTGACCAGTTGACTTTTTCTGAGAATACAATGGTTTTGACTTTTGGATGTTCTCCAAAACACAAGCATTATAATTCACATCAAGGCTTGGAAAATTGGAAGGCAATATCTATGGGCACTTTCACACATACCACATTTTTATAAAGGTCTTACTTGATCTGCAAGTCCATTTAATGTTGACAGATATGGAGCAGGATAGGTTGCAAAAATATGAGCTGTGGCATTTGGACCATCTACTGTAAACACTCCACCAGTGTACTTGATTAATGCATCTGCAAAAATAAAAGCAGGACCATATCTATTAGTTTTTTTCATCCCCCAGATCTTTAATGATTTTTTGTTTGTTGTTCATATAAAATCATTTAATAGGCTTGATTCTCAACATGCACCAGCACTACAGATATGCACTCACTGGCCACTTTATTAGGTACATCTGTTTAATTGCTTGGGAACACAAATTTCTAATCAGCCAATCACATGGCAGTAACTCAATGCATTTAGGTATCTAGACGTGGTGAAGATGACTTGCTGAAGTTCAAACTAAGCATCAGAATGGGAAACAAAATGGATTTAAGTGACTTTGAACGTGGCATGGTTGTTGGTGCCAGGATGGGCTGGTGAGTATTTAAAAAAACTGCTGATCTACTGGAACTTTCATACACAACCATCTCTAGGGTTTGCAGAGAATGGTCCCAAAAAGAGAAAATATCCAGTGAGCAGCAGATGAGTGGAAAAAAATTCTTTGTTAATGTCAGAGAGCAGAGGAGATTCGAAATGAAAAATGCATGCTATCATGTCAATATGGGCCAAAATCTCTGAGGAATGTTTCCAACATCTTGTAGAATCTATGCCATGAAGAATTCAAACGAAAAGGGGTCCAAGCCAGTACTAGCATGATGTACCTAATAAAGTGGCAGGTGAGTGTACATACACATATATACCCACCTACACACAGTATACATTTACTTCATTGTTATAGTGTTTGTCGTTACAGCATTTCATAAACTAACCAGAACTGCATTTAATGACACACTGGGCCCCATTCAGTAAAGAAGATCAAATGCGGTATTAAGGTGATCTGACACATTTTTCCCAAATATCGCATGTGATACTAAAAATGTCAATTCGCTATCCCTTTGTGCAGTATTTACCTTAAAATCCAAAAACACTCAGTAAATACTGTATACTGTATACATTAAAGTCAATTCACAGAAGAAAATAAATAAATGTGGTAAATTTTTATTGATATTGAAGGAATGTAAAAACATAATAGCCAATTTGGAGTAGTCTCTACTTTTTTGGAGGAGTAGTCTCTCAACAGTAATGCATAGAAGCCTAAATATGGATAAAAAAAACACAGAAACATTGGGGTTGATTAACTAAAGGAGAATAAACTGTGCACTTTGCAAGTGCAGTTGGTCCAGAGCTTAGTAAATGAGGTAAAACTCATTTACTAAGCTCATTTTCACCTGGCAAGGGCATTTTCCCCTAGTTTAGTGAACATGATGAAAATTCACATTTTAAAGAACACACAACCACTTGCACTGAAAATTAAAAAACAGCATTTTTGCTTGAAATGATTGGATGATAGAAGTCAGCAGAGCTCCCCCTCATGTACTAAATCTGAAGCAACTGGACTTGCAAAGTGTTCAGTCTATGTGCGTTTAGTAAATCAATCCCCCCCCCCCCGTAACAGGTAGTGGAATATATTTATTTTTTTCTCATGCCATTTCGCCAAATTTTCTTTTTTGTGCATATACCAGAATATTCCTAATTTGCTGAATAAACCTCCCAATCATTCCAAACATAAATGTTCATGCATATCACAATGGTCTAATCCCTTGTTAGAACACGTGTCATATGTAGTGGGAATACATTACTTTTTCGAAAATATCTTTAGCAAAAAATTTTACAAGACAGAATAGGAATAAACAAGTATTCTTACAAAAGTGTGTCACTTGACTGTTAGGAGAGGAGTGTCATCAATTTGAAGGTTTGGCAGATACCAGAGTGACACTTTCAAGAACATCAGAGTGTGAACTGTAAACAAAAATGCATTTGGGAATGCATCCAGAGTGCGTTTTTTGTGGTGTGAACTGACCCTAAAGTGTAACTGAAGACAAAACTTTCTTTTCATTTTGGATAGAGTAAGGGCCCATTCACACCAGAAACTGCAAATAACTGTGTTTTTTCCTTGTACCTATGCATGCATTTGATACAAGTTTTACATGCAGTTGTCACGGATTGTACATGCAGTTGACACATGTTTACATGTAGTTTATGCACGTTTTTCTAAATGCATTTGTCCTATGAGGTCACTTCATTTTTTTTCCCTTGGGCTTCTATGTGTACTGTGATACGTTGCAGTGCATTTGCATGCATTTTTGCTCGTTTGCGTAGCGGAAAAAAATGCAGCATGCTGTACTTTTCTGCGCTGCGCTGCGCTGCGCTGCAATGGTATGAACCATGCCCATAGGACAGCCTGATTTTGGACTGTCTATACAGTTGGAGTTCTGTCCAAAATACATCCTACTTCATTCCGCTGTGTTTGGTGTGAAGGGGCCCTTAAGGAGAGTTAGACCCCGTCAGTTTTTAGACCATCTGTTTCCCATTGGGAGATTTCTACGCTATTAGTGTTTGATGTCAACACAAAATGTGGGAATTTCCTTTCCTTTCATTTTCAGTGATAAGGAGAAACAGTAAAAACAGAGAGAATAAATCTCCCTAATAGGGGCACAGTCAGAAATAAAAACTGGCAGGTGTTCTAATCCCTCTCCACTGTGCTCCTGCCACAGGATATAGTGCCATGAGATAAAATACCGAATAGTTTCATGATATAATTACCATAAATTTGTTGAAATACCGCATGCAGTATTTTAGAAGTGTTTTTTTCATGAATTACAAAAATGTTTTTTTAAAAAAGCTGAAAAGTATTTTACCACGGATCTTAAAGTGGTAGATACTGATTCATGAATGGAGCCCATTGTATGACGACATATTTTAAAATCCCTAAGGCCCTGTACACATGATGAGGATATCGGACGAATGATCATCCATTTTTTTTTGCATGCTAGTCTCATATCAAAAGTGAAGAGGTTATGAAAATTCTTGTACGACAGAATAAAATTCAAAAGTGATGTAATGTATCATATTGTATTTGTATTGTATTTTTGGATGAAAACTATACTCATTAAAAGAAAATCATACGATCTGGTATGGTACGAGAAAAATTTTCATGCTTGTCCCTTCAAATAATTTCAGACGAAAGCTGTGTACTAACGATCAGATTATTGTACAATCGCTTTGAAAGCAGTATTTTTTGTATGATTTTCTGATCATGTGTACTAGTCTAAAGGACAGGGATGGCACTGCCACAAATTTATCACATGCTATCTGTTTTTTGTAGACTAAGCAAACACCTAAGGACATAAATAGTCAAGGTAGAGGAAGAACTGCACACAGGCATAAGGACACAGAGGAGGACAAAGGGTCAGCAGGGGAAGCCAAAGATGCAAAAGAGTAAGTAGCAAAAAAATCAATGGGAGAATGTGCAAGAAGATTTCCCTTCCCTTCCTGTTCCGGTGACAACAGTAACATTTTGGTCCCAAAAAGTATATACAATAATGTTTACAAGGCTTCATACACAGAATATACCTACCATAATAAACTCCAAAAACTAAAGCAGATCCAGTGATGGCACCCAAAACCTGTGCGCTCACATAAAAAGGGAGCTTGACCCAATCTAGTCTTCCAGTTAAACACATGGCAAATGAAACCGCAGGATTAATGTGGCCCCCTAAAATGACAAAACAAATTGAGATTCATTCCATATTATCACACAAAAGTTTAATATACCTTTAAATATACAAAGGTTTGCTTTTTGGCTTTATAACTCCATTCTCAAGACCTGGTATCCAGCTGCAAGGCAGTAAAATGAGCATTACACTAATTAGTTACCAAATAGCACAAACTGTTGCCAATTAAGTTCTGATATTGGTCTGTAGATTGTCCCTAATGTAGCTGAGCGAGTTACTGGAAGACTAATTATACATTTGCCTCCAGGTGTTTGGTGGCATCCTCAGTATTTATTATGCAGTAAATCTAATCTGTAAGTAGCAATCATAATTTTGTAAGAAATAAATCTGTGATCATTTGTAACATATCAGTGTGTACAGAGATTAGCAAGATGCAAATCAATTCATACTTTTTTGAGAAAATCTATTTATTGGTAACTTCACAGAATTATAAGGTATTTTTATTTTCACACCTATTGACTTCAATATGACTGTACTGTACTTGTGTGCAATGCACACAACTGCGGCATTATAGGGTTAAATCAGGCAGTGAGGAGGTGATATACTGTAACATCTCCTCACTGCCTGTCAAATGTCCTTTGAAAATCACTGACTGGAAGGAGAGAGCCTGAGATCAGTACAGAGGGGATTTCTTGAGATCCTGACCTGGAGTGAAGATCAGGCGCATGGCTCCCAGGGTTTGTAGTGAGCAGGCACTAACCCAAGGAGAACTTGGCTGGGTAGCAGAATGGAGGGAGAGCATTAGGGCATCTCCTAGGCAATGCTCCCCAACCAGAACAGAGCCTCCCTGCTGTACCGATCAGCTCCTCAGGCTCTCTCCTTACAGTACTTACAGCTCATCACATGGACATCTATCAGCATGCCTCTCTGAGGACAGTGACAGGTTCACAGAGGCAATCTGACAGTGGATGCACTAAGGGCCAAATGAAGCACAGGGGCCGCAATTTGCCCAGGTCTACTATAAGGGTTTCCATTGCTGATACCAATCTGCTTCTGCTTCAAGTTCTCTATTTGTCATGTTGACCCTCTGACTTCATGCTTTATAGTCTCTGACCTGGTACAATTATGCAAGCTTGGAGTTCGGAGTTCATGCGGACTTCACTTTCTGCAGCCAACTGAGGCAGACGTGGGAGCAGGTACCTGTCAAAACCAAGTACCCTCTCTCCCCGCAAAAGGTGCCAAATGTGGCAACAAAGTGGGGGAGACGAAGAGTGGAGCTTCCCCTTTTTGGTGGAATCTGACCACTGTATGGTGTAATGGTGTACAATTGGCTGCTAGAGGTATTTATGTTTTGCATATTGTGCATTGCCCCCTGCAGTGCTTTATTGAACAAACATGCTGGCGAGTAAGTCAAACCATAGATGATGTGATTTTCTTTTCTGCAACCATAGCAGAAAAGAAAAATCGCTCAATTCCCTCATCAACACAGTGTAGATGGGAGAATCCCTTCTGCAGAGCCATTGTGTTCTCCCGTTGGTGTGATGGGAATGGGGGGGTGGAGGGGATGGGAGCCATCCCCTCTGGGTGAACACAGTGATTATTGTTAACAGCTATAGCCACTAGCAATAACTACATATAAAAATCCGACATGTTGGTTGTAACCAAGTCAATCAATGGATCAACTTGGGTACAATCAGCCTGCCCATATATGGGTCAAATCTTGGGCGGGTCCCTGCTGAACCAGCCAAGATTCAAACCATCTATGGCTGGCTTAAATCAGTACAATAGAGCACAGAAATTTCTCCTTGGGTTCTTTTATTTATGGTACTTACAGTACATACTGGCATCAATTTACACAGAGCTTTACATATACTGTATATTGTACATTCACATCAGTCCCTGCCCTAAGGTCTATAACTCACATTCATTCATACATATACTAGGGCCAATTTAGACAGGAGTCAATTAACCTAGCAGGATGTCTTTTGAAGTGCAGGAGGAAACCCATGCAGGCACAAGGAGAACATGCAAACTCCGTGCAGGTAGTGCTGTGATTGCAATTCGAAACCAACAACGTTGGTGCTGCCAGGCGGAAGGCTAACCACTTAACCACTGTATGTCCCATAGTGGATATTATGGATATTATCCATTCTCATAATATTAATATGTCAGTGAACATTTTCATGGAAGTTACTGTTCTCAGACCCTCAGCTACATACAGTATTACTTCTAAGGCAATGAAACACATCTTTAGCCTTGCATATTATTGTCATGGAATTAAAATGTGGCCCCTCTCAGTTAATATAGATCAGTGATAACACTAAAATAATTAGTACATTTGTTTTGAAAACATAATATATTATACAGAAGACTATTTGCAACATTGCTAAGGATACAATAATTTATTTTTAATAGCACGTTATAAGAAAAACATTCTGTGCAAACTTTAAAATGAGCTATGAAGACTTGTTCTGTATAAATGATGAGTCATTTATTCAAGGAAAACAAGGAGGTAACTATAGGAACATCAGCTCCTGTGACTTTTATGAGGCCAATGGTACAACGGGCCAAGTATGCTGAGAAAAAAAACATTCCCTTAAGGCTCCTTTGTCTGACTGCATAATACTCAATCTAGACAACACTACTACAGTACTTGGAAAATGATCATTATACACGAAAGAGTGATAGGACAGCCAATCTCTTACCATAGGGACTGGAGGCTCTGAAGGCTCTAAAACTACCTGGCTTCATTTCTTATAATAAAACATCAAATATTCATCTGTTTTTGATGCATGCTGTAAAATGATATTGATCTCTATTTTTATAACTGATGAACCATCTGCTGTCATCACCCTTCCTTTGATGATTTCTTCATGAGAAATTTGGAAAACTTTGGAAACCTCTTGTATTCTATTGTATTCTAACTGCACTTTCTCCCTTTTGATTGTAAAGAGCTGCTCAAGCTGTTGATGCTATATAAATCCTGTATAATAAAAATAATAATAACATGAAAGGACTGAGCAGGACTAAGTGTAATGTTCAAATGAAGTATGCATGGCCTACAAAAAAATATAATGTTATGACGCCCATTGTCTGGTGAGGGTTGGGATCCTTTGGCTTTTGGGGCCACCACAACCAACTAGCTGGTAGGAAAAGGACTGCGTGGGACAAAGAAAGGGTATCATACAACATGAGTAATGGTGCTGCACTGATTGATGGACATGGTGGAAGGCATTTCCACTCCCCCTTCCCAATAAGCACCAACACTACAGATATGCATACACCTACGTATACATGTACAGTATTTATATATACAGCACTTTCCTGGTATAAAAAGATTTGTGTGGGATAAAGAATGTTTACCATGAAAAAAATAGTAATGGTACTGCACTGATTGTTTGGCATGGTGGAAGGAATTTTTTTTAAAGGAGTGATTTATAAGCACATCTTCCAATATCAGCTCACTTTGCAGCTCGCAGTTTTTGGTCACATGACATCTCAGAGCTACAATGCAAGTTGGTGCTATAAGACCACAGGTCTGAAGAGGGTGCAGGTAGGTAGTGATCAGCAAGTGTCAATAACTGTGCCTGATCAGTTTTTGATAATATCTGAAGGTTATCTACCATATCTTACTAGCACTGGCCCTGGGGGGGAGGGGAGGCAATTGCCCCCTATTCCCAGCCCAATTCTCTCCTGCCCACTGTAGAACAAAAGATCTCTTGGTATTTTCAGTAAGCAGGATAGTTTAAACTCTCTATACACTAGTAGAATTTGTTCCAATTTTTTCTTTTTAGGAAGGTTCATTCAATTTTCTAATCATTAGTGGGGTCAAATTGGCATTCATTTTCAACCTCGGTGAAAGTTCAAATTTTTTTAATTCGAGAAAAATTTTCCATCCTGCTTTTTTGCAGGATGGAAACATTTTCCCGAATTAACAAATTTTGTTTAGGAAAGTCCATTCACTCCAAAATTGAATGTTAAAAGCAAATACAATTTTGAAGTACTTTTGATCAACATTCATCAAGTCATCCAGTGTAATGAGAATTTTTGTACAAATGTTTGTATGAATGTTCATTTGAAAATCCACTAGTATATGGCCAGCTTTACATTCTTTTTTTTACAAATTGATATATATTGATATTGAAGAATATCAGCACAAACAGTAAATAATAATAATAATATTAATAATAAAATCTGACTATATTCTTTGATTTTTTTTTTAAACAGCTAGTAAAACCATACATTTCAGCTCTAGAGGTTTTGTAACTTTTGAGTTGTTAAAAGTGGCCTTGATGAGCTAATTTTTTGTTTGCTTGCTCTTAAGGTCACTTTTCCTTTCAACAAATAAACACAGATAATTTAAAATCCACCATTTCTGCCTGTTATTGCCTGGCCAGGTATAATTATTAAAGGGTGTTCATTAGATAGCAGCGATCTTGTAATATTAAACTTCTCTGGTGTTTTCACTTCTGCAGTCTGTGTCCAATTGCTGATAGTCTATTGTTTTTTTTTTTTTCTTTTATATGCTTTCTTTTGATGACAGTTTTTAGAAGGAACACCCCACACCATCTAGGACAGTGATGGCGAACCTATGGCATGCGTGCCAGAGCTGGCACGCAGAGCCATCTTAGTGGGCACGCCAGGAAGAAGAGGAAGATGAGCGCACACGGACCACGCACACTGACCGGCCATCCAGATCTCGTCCACACTGGACCCCCATCAAACTACATCTCCCACATGTCTCTGGTGCCAGGGTGGGTGTGGACGAGAGCAAACGGCTCCTATGCGGATCTGGCACCAGGGGTGATGTAGCCGGGGATGGGCGTGGAAGAGAGGAAGAGGCTCCCACACTGCTCCGGGGCCAGGGGGGTGATGTGTTCAGCGTGGATGGGATGAGCTGCTGGGTTGGAAGCCACACCGAAACTGCCAGAGGTGAGATTAACTGCTTGCAGTGTCATCCATCAGTGCCCAGAAGTGTCACCCATCAGTGCCCAGCAGTGTCGCCTGTCAGTACTGCCCAGCAGTGCCACCTGTCAGTGCC